TTGAACCCACAAATCATGAGATCATGACCTGAGCCAAAGTTGGATACTTAACCGGGTGAGCCACCCAGGTGCCCCTCTTCAAGAAATTTTCTAATCATATACAAGCATATATTTCACTTTCTAAACCCAAATGGAAGTCACTTTTTAATTTGTTTGTTTGTTTGTTTTTGAGACAGAGAGCGTGTGCACATGGGCCAGGGAGGGCAGAGGGAGAGGGAGAGAGAGAATCTCAAGCAGACATCACCTCCAAGTTAAAATTTTTCTTTGGATTTTTATTTGGCTCATGTAATGCAAAGAACATATTCATTTGTACCAAGAATATATTGTAATGTTCCAGAAGCCATAATTTAACATGTAATAGGACCCATTAAATTGTCTGGCCAAAAGTGGCATTCTACTGTTGGGAAAGATTTTACATTCTTTTATACTGGATGGCTCCTGTCTCCCAGATGTTGGGTTGAATTCTTCATACAATGGCACATTTACAAGAGGTACAAAACACTTATTGAGCTTTCAAGGCCACTCTAAGCAGCTTGTTGGAGTAGCTTCTTTGCATCTCATTGAATTAATCGTATTCCTCTTTGTTCAGCCCACGACTACCTCCAACTTAAATTTTACAGGCGGTGTCTCCACAGTATCCATCACTACACCCTGCACCCAGAGCATTAAGGACGTGTAGGATTGGAGATCTCAGTGTGGAAGAACTTCGGGGCTCATCTGCTTAAAACAGTTGTGTTTAGAAAAGTTCAGGCTGAAATGCTTGTCTCCTGGTAGATGGCTTTTCAGGGACTTTAAAGATAAGGTTCTTCAGATTCACTTGGTCACCTCTCTCTAGTTAATCAAAAGTGCCTTGTCCAACAGCACATGCCTCTTCCTTGTGGGTCCCGACCTCCAGTTTTGTTCTGTTTCAATAATTGTGGGTCATCGCTCACCAAGAAAGAACTCTAGAACCCGAGTGTGGTACATCAGAGAACACTGCTCTGTGTAACCCAGGGCTTCATGCAGGATACCAAAGTCAGCCCATCAGTCTTCAAGGGCTGGCAAGTCCCACAGTGAAGTATTCCAGTATTCCAGTCGTTCAGAGTAACTACCATCACTTATATTGGGCAGGACGGTTTTTTACAAAGCCTAAAACTCCAACATCTCTGCAGGCTTCTCTTTCAGCTTCCTGACCTTTTGGTAACCCCTGATGGCCAGCACAGCCCCTAGAGCAAAGACCCCAATGGCTAGCGTAGCAAAGATTCCAACTCCTATGTCTCCCCCGTGGAAACTGCAGCCGAAGCCGCTGTAGCCTTTGCTTTGGTACAGCACCTCCCTCTCTTTGCACACTGGAGAGGCGTAGGCAGCGGAGAGGTGGTGGAAATAGAAGTACAGAGCTGGGATGTAGGCCCCAGCAATGAGTACGTCCAGCAAGCCTTCGATCACCAGCAACAGGGGGCAGTGCCATGGGACCCGTAGGACACCCAGAACAACCAGGAGACAGCAGAAGGCCATGAGGGCTCCACCACAGGCCATGGCCACAGTGACGGTGGGCAGCTTCAGCTGGTAGAACTGGACATCCAGCTGCTGCGCTTTCTCCCCATCAGCACCATTGAAACCACTGTAAGCCCCTCCAAACTGGTAGTAATAAATGCCCCCCAGGCTGGTGATGCCTGTGTAGCCCCCTGTGGAACTGTAAGACACAGAACTGCAGGCCAGGATCAACAAGTTCAGGAGAACCTCCAGCATCTGACAGCAGGCTGCAAAAGAAGGGCGTGTTACCATTTTCACAGGTGCTGTTTCAGACTTGGAGACTTCCACCTTGCTGCTCATCTTCCCTGCAGTAGCCAGCACCACAGCAGTCTCTTTATTCCGTGCACACACACCCCCTACCACCACCATGGGGAGGCCCCGATCAGCCAAAGCCGCCTGATGAGCATTAGATGCTAGCGTGCAACTGTGGGCTCCGGAAATGATGCTGGAAGTACTCTAGGCTAGAAAGAGTAATTCTCAAAACAGCTTGCCCCTCGTGGGGTGCAGGAAGAGGGTGGGAGAAATCAGACCAGTTACCAACCAGAAAGAAAGGCATCCTTGATAGAAGGCAAGAACATTCTCAGCCCCAGCCCATCCATGCCAAGAAGACTAAAAAATAGTTATCTTCTCTTTAGATACGTTTTGTGGCTTTCTTCGGTTTGAAAGAGGAAACCTCCCCAAGTTTGAAGGAAATAACACAGAGCTTAAAAAAATACAATGAAGTCAGAAAATAGTATAGAAGTTATACATCAAAATGTCAACTGTGGTTCACATATATTAGAAACAAAATTAGAAAGATTAAGTCAATTAAACCCACAAAGCTTCCTGAATTAAAGAAATGTAATAGGTTTCATTGTTCTTAGATTTCAACTCAGTAAGTATGTTCTAAAGTTTAACTTTGTTTTCTTTAGTTTCCCTAAAAAGCAAATTTGGGCTGTGGTTTTTTTTCTCAGGGCTAGATTCTCTTAAGGGCCCTTGGTTTCTTTGTCTTGAACAAGGAAAGAGCTCCAGCTTTTCCGCCAAAGTTGGCTGCTTTCCTTAAGACCCACTTCATTGAGATATAACTGACATGGAAGAAAATGACCCACATTGAATGTACAGCTTGTTGAGTTTTGACAAACACACATGCCATGCAATCTGAGTCAAGATTCAGAATGTTTTCATCTTCCCAGAAAGTTCCCAAGAGACTGTTTGTGGTCAGTCCTTCACCCTCCTCCTCAGACAACCAGTGATCTGCTCTCTGCCATTAGGAATGAGTAGGTTGAGCTTTCTAGAATTTTTTTTTAAGTTTATTTATTTGAGATAAAGAGAGGGAACGAGTGGGGAAGGGACAGAGAGAGGGAGATAGAGAATCCCAAGCAGGCTGTTCGCTGGCAGTGCAGAGCGCAACGTGGGGCTCAGTCCCACAAACCATGAGATCATGACCTGAGCCAAAATCAAGAGTTGGTCGCTCAACCAATTGAGTCACTCAGGCATCCCTTTAGAATTTCATATAAATGGAATCATATCGTTGTGTGTGTGTGGCTTCTTTTTCTCAGGATTCTATAAAGCTGGGCACTTCTGAGCTGAAATTATATATCCTGAATGGTTGCAAGAGGTCAGCTGACTCGGGGTACACTCCCAGCAGCTCCCAGGGGTTTAGAGAACCAGATTTTGTGCCTAGGTCCAGCTGGTGATGCCTGTGTGCTGTATGAAGCTGTGTTACATCTACATGTTCTGTAACTGGAATGATTCACTCTCAAGTATTATCTTAACACTCTTCAATTCCACCCCCACCAATGCAGATAGCATTATTTCTTTAATTATAAAAGTAATACATACTTACTGTTAAAAAAAATATAGACAGAAACATATAATGTAAAGGTATCTAAATCCCAACCAATTAAAAAAATAACCACTGTGACCATTACTTTTTCTTCTGGACTTTTCTGTCATATACGCATAATTTTTCTATTGTTTATTTGCTTTTAGGTGAAAAATGGGGACCTACTCTACTATTATTTAACCTATTTTTTTCAGTTAAGAATATAGTGTGAACATTTTTTTCCATCTCAGCAAATATAAATCAATATACTTCATATTTTTAAAGGATGTATAGAATACCACAAGTTTAAATAATTCCAATGTAAAGAACATTTAGGGTTTTCCCAATGTCTTTGTTGTATGGGAACAAATATGTATATTTCTTAATACAGTGTGGGGAGAGCAGAGACCCTACAAGCCCCTTATTCCTATTTTATAGGTTTTATTTTTTATTTTTATTTTTATTTTGAGAAAGAGAAAGAGAACAAGCACAGGCTGGGAAGAGGGGCAGAGGGAGAGAATTTTTTTTTTT